ACTTAAATTATTATTTTTTTTAATTTTCCCAAGGATTACGATATCCTTGATGTAGAGTCCCACATAGCAAAATATCTCTGGCCCACTCAATAAGCTTTTTCTTGGCCCACATGCCACAGTGAATTACGGTACATGACTGGGCCAAGTCTGGCTTCCAGACAAGGGCCAAACATGGACCATATCTCGGCCAAATCTCATCCAAATAATAACCCATGACTGAGCCAGATATATTGGTGTGTCACGACTGCAATGAAATTGATAAATCCACGAATCATTGCATTTTAGGCGTGCTACTGAGGTGCTTTTTCTCGAAGTGACCTGATTGTTAATTTAATTTCTTTATTTGAATATAACAAAGATTTATTTTAAATGTGGGTCAAGATAGGCCAAATACTACATTTTACATTGGACCCATTGTGTGTCGCCTTAAAGACGGTGTATACCGTATGCTGTATGCCGGATGAATGCTTGCTCATGCCAAATCTGGGCCAGAATTCTTTGTTACCTGGGGTGCCATGGGGATTTGTAAACAACAAATGTCGTCGTGACACAAGATTCAATCATTTCTTCTCGTGAAATGTGGCATAGTTCATGACAGACGATACCACGCCTGGGAAGCCTCACGAGCAGAAAGTCTAGCATGTTTAATTTTTTTCTCGTTCTTCATGAGGAGTTCGGTCACATGGATGAAACTCTGCAATAGGAGCACATAATTTCTCGGTTATCTCAGCGGGTGCTGCCTTTAATATGCTGGACAGGTAATTTTAAAAAATAAGCTGCATATGTACTTATGGGTAGGTCACAAGTGAATAAGATCAACTGTTGGATATTTAACTATCTTTTCTAAAATATTAAGGTGTTTTAAGCAATTTTATCTGACAGACTGGCACAAATATGCTGACATCTGCATTCTCACAATGAGTTTCTGAGTTCTCTCATCCTTCCAACAGAGTTTCTTCATCCCAGGTAATCTGGAAACATGTTCAGTGCTGCGGATACATTGCAAAAGCATTTCCTGCTTATTCAAATTTGTCCTTAATAGTGAAAAGTTTAATATAGGCTTCTCTGAAACTGTGCATATTTTACTTTAATTTTATTTAGGCTATTATTATTTTATTTAACAAACCAACACAATCTCATGGCAATTCCTGTTTTGGTGCATTAAGTGGACTTGATTTGGAGTGTTTTTGATTCTTGTTTATGGATAACTGAACAAAAAAAGATACATTAAAATTAAGATAAAAATGAACCAAATAAAAACCAAATTTGTTTCAAAAAGATATTTTTTTCCAAGAAAAATATATTTTTGTTTGTGCCCCTCCACTACTCAATTATACGGGTGGATAATTTGTTTTTGCCCTGAGAAAAAAAGGATTTATTGAGTGCTTCACTGTAATTGTTTTATCACAAACCTATATTTACACACCATATTTATTTGCTAATTCTTTTATGTTTCATTACTTTAAAGATTATATCATGAGCATGTTTCCTTGCTGCTGCTTTTTTTGCTTTCATTTCCATCAGGCAAAGTGTTTAAAAAAAAAAAAGAATGGCAGGAAAATATACATTTAGATTTCAAAGAAAATATCTTAACATTAAAAAGGAATCATAAGTTTGATCTTATCCATGTCATAAGGAATGTCCTTAAATAATGTAGTTTTTAGTTGTCTGCAAGCATCAGTGTTTATTGAGATGGAAATAAGTATACAACATTCAAATTGAGTTAAGAAATATTGTTATAGCAAGACTTGTGACTATTTTGGAAAATAACGCATGGAATGATTGTGTTGGAACATGTTGCCTGGCACATTTGTTACCCATTAAAGTCAAGATTTTATCAAGAAAAAAAATCACATAATCTGATAGTGACATTTGTAACCAGCAATAAAAATCATGTAATCTGACCGGGGTTCAAGCGTAAAACGAAATGAAAGGCCAGTAGGTAAAATCAAAGAACCTGCAGGCGAGCACAGAAACTCCATTAAAATACTGCTGTAACATAAACTGTCATATTTTAAAGACATGGTGGGGGGAAAATGTAATTTAATGCAGTGCTTCATGTCCGATCTGAGACCCACTTCATATATCTATCAGGCAGTGAAGATTGCTGATTTTTAAAGAAATCAAATCTTAAATGTGGCAATTTTGTAACAGAAAGACAATTCACCAGAAGCGCTGAGGCTGGCTGGTTGAAATTAAAAGTCTTTGTTCATATACTGGCAGGGGCAGTTTTAACAAATAAGCATGGTAGGTGGCCGCTTATGGCCCCAGGAAATCTGAAGGCCCCCAAATAAATAAGTATAATACCTATAAATTATATATAACATCATTTTCTATCATATTTTGTATATGAGGGTCTAAAAAAATAAGTTTAATGTTTATTACATCGCAAATGCACAAATGTGTCTCCCACCCTCAATCATGGAGTAGTCCAGCAGTCAAATAAGGTGAAGATTTAGTTTTAAAAAGAAATAGTTTACATATCATTTTTAGTTGTGAATCCATTTTAGAAAACAAATCATTTCAAAAAAGCTTTACAATATGTTTTACGTGTTGTTATTAAAACAAAATGTAGAAAAGGAGATTAAGTGATAAAAGAAAAAAAACAGCTAAATAAATCAATTAAAAATAAAGTAAGTTGTATTTTAGAACTTTCAGGCCCCATGGCCGGAATTGCTTAGGGCCCCCAAATCACTAAATCCTCCCCTGTCCTTTGGCCTCATGTTCCTTTGGAATTTTTTTATGGGTTAGTTTTTTACAGTAGTAGTTTGAGGTTATGAGTTAAATAAATTGGCCAGTTCACCCAAAAATTAAAACTGTTCGTTCACTCACCCTCAGGCCAAAGATGACCTTTTCTTCTTCTTCAATAGAGCAAGAACGATTTTTAGCTGAAACTTTGTCCTTGGTTTTTTATACATTTCTTTTTTAAGTTATTGATTTTTTTATGCAATGCTCTCCAAAACAACTACAAAAAGACAAACAAACATTTATTGGCATTTATTAGATGAAATTCTGCAAGTAATGTAAGCCCTCTGTTTATTCAGAAATTGTGAATGAACTTTTTTAATACACCATAGGCATTTCCTAAGGTTTATCCATGGCTCAGAAATGCTCATTTCCAGCTGGATAATATAACAACCAACTGAACAGCTTTAGTTTTAGGTAAGCTTAGGTTTATAGGCTTTGGTATTAATGTCTTTGTTGTTACACACAACACAACTGGTCTGGAAACATGAGATTTTTTTTGGTCTTTACTGACATAACAGCTTCACCATCAGTCATTGACATGATTTGCATTTGTTGGCTCCAAATCCATTATGCAAATCTTCTATTCCAGCACATCCTAAAGGTGCTCTGTCATTAAGATCTACTGACTTTGGGGTCATTTGAGTAGTAATCTCACTGTCATGTTCAAGAAACCTCTTTTGATGTGATTTGATTGTTGTGCATTTTCCTGCTGGTTACAGTGATCAGGAAGAGATAGACATGATTAACAATACTCTGGTAGGCTGTGCCATTTCATTTTGCTCTGTTAGTAAGGAGCCCAAATACACCAGCAGCAGCCTCAACCGTTAATACAAAGCAGGATGGATCCATGCTTTTATGTTGTTTACACCAAATTCTGACCCTACTATTCGAATGTCACGGTGGAAACTGATGCTCATCAGACCAGCCAACCTTTCCCCAGTCTAATGTTGTCCAATTTTGGTGTGTGAACTGTACGCTCAGTTTGTTGTTCTCGGCTGACAGCAGAGCTTGTAGTATGTTCTCCTCATTCTGTACTGTATCTCTGGTATCGACAGGGGATTTTCAGCACAAATCGTTCTCAGTAACCCTAAAGATGGTCAGAAACAGATCAGCATTTTGTGAAATAATGTGAAAAAGTTAGTACCGCCTATGAAATTCCAATTTGGCCTTATTTTTGTTAAATAAACAATCACACTGTTTGAGTTTTTACGTGATGTTGTTAATTGTACAAATTTTTTAATCTTTTTAAGGCAAGCACCATGTTGGTTTTATTATTAAGTCCTTATATAAAAAACATGGAATTCAGTGGCGTCCTAATATACATCATGAATGTAGGTTTCCCAGACTCACCTGTCTGGCACCAAAATATATGCCTTGTTCAAAATCAATCAAATCATCTTTATTCAATTAAACCTTTCTTTATATTTAATTACTTTTTGGTGTTTTCCATCTTTAAAAAAGGAAGAGAAGAGATTGTCAAAAGACGTGAACCAGGAATCAAACTCAGGCCACCCTGAGCACCTCAGTTCTATATGTTGCCATACTAACCACAAGGCTATTAGCATTGACCATTTAAACACCCTTTGTCTGCTTTATAATTGATCAGATTGTCTGTATATCTGCATGCGTTAATGTATTCAATTGCTTCCATGGGACTGGCTGTTTTGGAAATTTCTGTTAACAAGCAGTTGAACAGGTAACAAAGTACCTGGTGAGTGTATATTTCTAGTAAAATCTCCCCTTTTCCCCCTGAAGGTGGCTTAAGATGTGGAGCCTAAAACATTCTTAAGTTCATTGTAAATGAAGTGTTACCCACTTGTGAAGCACCAACCCTGATTTAGATTAAAAGGTGAGATGGTTAACTGGCTTAAAATGGTCTGCAAACCTGGATAAGCCTGGTGTTCAAATAATAGTCTGCCAGTCTGGGCCAGATGAAAAGTGCCCTGTAAAACCATCCCACAGATTAAGGGCAGCAATCCAATTCTTTCCAGCTTTGTTCCTTGCAAAAGAATCAAGATGCTCCATTCGCCGAATGAATATAATACAGTGACAGAATGACTACATACATCAAAGTGACAGTTCACTAGAAGAGGAGATCTGGAGACCACAGGCTTCCACTGGCTCATCCACCCTGCGCAGGGAGGAGGTCTGCACTATTTATCTGGGATATGAGCGCACCATCTGTCTTTCCGTCAGCCAATGAGCGCTTTAATTCCCACTCTATTCACCGGCGGTGTCTTCATGTAGTGTGCAGACTGCACAGACTACAGACTGCAGATGAGGGAGAGAGAGAGAGCAGCACTGCCCTGTGACGTCGCGAGGGACAGTAGAGAGAGCGCGAGGCAGGAGAGGGAGGCTCCGCGAGCCGTCGTCGTCCGTCGTCCGTCCGTGTGTAGCTGCCGTCTTGCTTTTTTTGCCGATATTACATCATATATCAATATAAATTCATCCCCGACATGTCTCCAAAGAGGATACTCTCATGAGCCGTTTAATTGCCATCGATATTTGGTATTTGTTTTTTACCTGCAAGTCTTTTAGACGACGGAATCATGGCAAGTACATCAGCGTCTGATATTGGTACGTTTTTCCGTTTGTAAACAGTAGTGTGTGATGCTTTACGTCTAACACAACTCGTAATCGCTTCTTTTCGCGTGTGCGCTTTGTCGTGTTTGTTGTCATTGGCTGTAATCGAGCAATACATTAACGCGAAGCACAAGTGTAAATCTTGGGTTTTCAATTACGGTTATTTTGTAATGTACAAAAATTCGACTGTTATTTAATTACCCGATTATCTAAAAAGCAATCGTGCAAGGTGACTCTCGCACATGTCGAATCGCGACGCACGCAATATTAATCGTACCAGAGCAATTTCACGCGCAGAAAGACAGCTGAAGTTTAATACGAAGCTGTGCTTAGTGAACGCCTAGCGCGAGCAATTAAACGACCGTATTTATTTACCTGTCGTACGCACACGTACACACACACACGCACACACGTTGGCTTTATCAAGCATCACTGAAGGACCATCTCTACTCGCACACCGTTCCCAAAAGAGCCTGCACGACGCAGTAAGTAATATAATTGTGTGCAATAATTGTTCTCGTCAGGGGTCTCATCTACCTTACAGTGGAACTGTTTAATTGAATGCGTGTCATTATTAGGATGTTTCTTTAGAGTTCTCCACACAGATGCTTAAGTCTAGAAATGTCAGTAGACGTTATTTAAATGGCCATAATTGACTGCAAGTTGACTTGAAGAGATTTGTGTACTGGAGTCTTAAGGTTTGAATGGTCGCTGTCCGTGGTGCTGAAACTGATGACAGCTGAGTTATAGCAGTGTTTCTCAATCCGGGTCCTGGAGCTTCACAGCACATTTTAGCAGCCTCTCTTATTTTAAACAATTGATTGAACTCCAAAATCTTAAATGAATACAATGTTTATAATAGTAATAATGAATAAGCCACCATTCTTACAGTGTACGTTAATCGTAACGCATGCGACTGACCCTAAATCAAACTTCAATATCTTAACTCTATATTAATGGTTATTTTATATTAATATATAAATATCAGGTATTTAACTATTAAAAATGAACAATAAATAGTTTACTATGAATTACTGTAGTTTTTTTAATTTAAATTGTTTGTTTTCTTATAATTAAAAAATACTTTCATGCAAATATATTTAATTATTTAAATTGAAGTAAAATATTGTAAATTATTTGTGGAATCCATCATATTTGTGTTTTTCTTATACGTTTTATGGAATTTAGGTGTTGTTTATGCTGTTGTAGTCATACAGTACATTACTCTGATTATGTTCTGGTATGACAGATTCAAATGTTGGCAGCTCTCCCAACATTAAATTGGTGTTGCGTTAATTTCATGGATTAAAAACATGCAATTTATACTTAAATTTATATATTTAAGATGCATTTTACAGCTCTTATTAATTTTTGCAAAATCACTGTGGATGTTAATTTACAGTGCATTAAATAACTTACAAATATTTAATTGTAATGTAGATAATTAGTATGTTAAAGCTAACTTTAAAATGAATAAATGCAGTGTAAGAATTTTTCAATGTTAGTTCAACGAATGTTAACATAATAAATCTTTTTTTTTTTTTTAATTATACTACCTCAAAATGACTTGTGTAATGCTTGCAGCTTCCTGCGGGTGTTATTAAATGTTAGATTTAGGGTAAAATAGACTAGAAAGGCATTCAAATGTGTATTGCTGAGGGCCCTTCAGGGACAGGATTGGGAAACACACATAATTCAGAATTTCTTTTTGCAGGTTTCTAGAGAGCCTTAACACTGCAATGTCTTCCCTATTTTAATCAGTTTCTCTTTTCACTGATCACTTCATCTGTATAATGCTTTATGAAATGAATGTATCAAATAAACTTCATCTGGTCCTGCAAGACAGATGATGGTGTGAAGGTGGCGGTTGACTGGTTTTGATTGTTTTGTTCGTTTTGAATATTGATGTGAAACTGAATCTCTGTCATTGTGCTACAGTTGTTATATATCTGATTGAAACTCATGTGATGCATGAGTGTCAGTCTGTGTTTCATGCATAGTAAAGGGAGAATATGTGCTACTTTAAAGGGGCTACTTATCACTCGTGCTTGTGCACATGTAACAAACACTGACTGAACGTGATGCAATACCTAAATGTACTCAGCTTTTTGAATGGCTCTTTCAGCATTGTACAAACATTAATTTCATGTGTTATAGAATGGAAGAGAGGCTTTTGGGAGCATGTGTAAATGTCATATCTTTTTGAGCACACATGAATGGGCTTTCATACACAAACAAGGTCTTGTTTTTTGTGTTTTATTAAAAGCGAATAGGTCATATTAAATTATAACGTTTTAGACTAGCTGATTTAGACAACACGTGGCACATCTTTAATTTATGTGACATGAGTACGCTGTTTATTATAACAACTATGGTAATTATGAATTAATTACCAAACTCACAGCATAAAAATAGTTTTTATGTATTATTTTGCAGTCACACATTTTAGGTATTTATTTTATAATAATAGCAGTGGGCTATCATTTGATACAAGATGCAATAGATCCTAAACCAAACTGTAATATCTTAATGCTATTATAAAAGTTCATTAACATAACAATTGCTAAAGAAATATAAAGTACTTACATTTGTAGTAATACAGCTACAGCAAGGCTACCATATAATCGACGGAGGCTTATTGTGAATACGTACCTCTGTATACATTTCAGGAGAGCATCATGTATGCAGCCAGAGGTTCGTTAGGCTGCGTTTTTCCTTTAAATGAATGTTATGGGGTGGTAAGACGCAGCTGGCTGCTTCTGTTTTCGCACTACCAGCTGACTGATTATCTCTGTGTGGACGTTTTTTCCCCGCTGTTACCAGTTTGCCCCGTAGCTTACCGCCTATGTCGGCAGACTTGTGATGTAGAGAGGAGTTGACCGTAACAATGGGGTTCGAGTTTGGCAAAGAATGGTTCCAGAAAGGCTGTGCCAGATCATATGCATTCGCTTGACGTTGTAGTATAAATCAGCCTTAAGAGTCATTATGTTATAAATTACGTCAAGAACTTTCAAGAGTGTCTGTGCTCCCTGTCTCATGCCTTCAAAGACCACCACAGGTTGATTGCGTGTCGGCATTGTCTACTGAGGTGTAAGTCATTTATTAATAAATGCTGCTTTATTTGCACATCTTTTATGCATTATTCTAGTTTTGCACACAAATTCCATTTGCATTTTTGGATGGAAACATAGCTACTGTTGGTTGGGTTTAGGGAAGGGGTGGGTAGACAGATCGGTCAGTCCTTCAGTTAGTCGACAGTGACCTCTTGTGGATTTATGCGAGAACAACAGGAGCGAATGGCACTTGGGAGAGAAATTTGAGATCTAAAAAAGTGTACACAAATACACATACCTCCTGGGATGTATTTCTGTCACCGACTCGTTCCCAGTCATTCCCCTCGCTGGCCAGCAGAGGTCATCATCACCGGACTTCTAACACATTACGTCATCCTCATTGACTGATGTCACACACACACCTGCAGCACATCTCATAATCACCTGGCACACACATATATGCAGCACTCACACACGCTTCAGTGCGAAGTCTTGCTCTGCCCCGGCTAATACTACTGAGCGTTTCTCATCCTTGCCTGCTTTCCCGTTGAATACCTTGGACTGTTTCTCGACCTTGTTTTACCTGCCGCCTGCCTTAAACCCTAGCCTGAATACTGACTTTGATTCTCGCCGCCTGCCTCTGGCCCATGCCTGAATACTCACCTTGTGTTTGTCTGCCGCCAGCCCATCGACTTGAGACTACTGTGTTTGATGTGAGTTTGCACACGCATAACATCTGTGTGCTTATTGTTATTAAACTCTGTTCAATAAATATACTGCAAATGGATCCCTCTGTGTCAGACCCTTCGTTACAATCTCCAGAAATGTATATAGCAGTACATATTCAGAATAAGCCTGGGTTTCATATAATAGGGTTAAATTTAAAGAAGGACAATAGATGCTTTAATGTAAAATACTGTAGAATAGTATTTTACATAACCTAAATGCATCAACCTAATATTTTTTAATATTAAAGGATATTTTTGACTTGCTGTTTTAGACAACGTCTTTAGTTTAGATGACTAAATATTTTAGCAACATTTTCCGTGGGCAATGCTGAAATCACTGCCTATTTTCTACTATATTTTGCAACATTCATGTAATCTTGCCTTCAGTGTACTGAATGTTTGTAATATTCATTCTGGGGCTAATTAACACAACTATCAAGGTTTTAAAAAGGAGCATGACCACTATTTGCTTTGGCAACAGCTTTTTCTTGGAAGGCTGTTGACAGCCCTGAACTGTGTGTAGTGAGAAATTACACTATTTAAGGTATTACTTCTATTAAAGAAACACAACGTATAACAAGTGGGATATATTAAATATCTTTGCAGGTTTACATCCAAATTATTTGATGCAAAAGCAATTTTCACTCTGAAATACTTCATCAATTTCACCCAAAATGACAGCTTATATGCGTATTATCCTGTAAAAAGATGTTATCCAACAATGCTGTGAAATCACGAGACCTAATGACCTCATTGAGAGACAGTTTCTAGTACAATTAGAGATCCACCTCCAATTTTAGCATGTAGGTATTAGGCTGAAAGATCACTTATCAGGCTACATTATGCTTCAAATATACTAACTTTACAAGCACAGTTGCATCTCTGTAAAATCCGCCTTTGTACAGCACAGCTTATGTGAAGCCTTGAATATTCTTCTGGGTCACAGAGGTGCCGACTGAATTCTGTGCATTTTATTTAAGCCGCACTTTTGTGGCATTTAGCAATTATGCTGTGAAGGCTGCCTCTGTCAGTAAGTGGCAACTTTCAGGCACTATTCCATTTCGCCGAAGCCGTTTGTGCATGTCTGGCATATTGTTGTTATTTCCTAAGATGTTCTCCTTGACATTTTAAGTCATTTGATAGCTTTGTGACTGATGCACCTGTAATTTAAGCATAGGTTATTCAGCCTCGCTGCCACTGTGTTATGTGCCTGGTGTTGCTTTGAAGACTCGCATATCAAAAAATGCAAACTGTCAGATCTCCTTTATAACTGACACAAACTGTGAACTGACAATCAGCCTAGCGTGTGACTCACTTTTGCAGCTGCATTTGCAATTGCGATTTGGGTTAAAGTCTTAAATGACCAGCTATTTCATCCATGTAGGGATGCTGAAGCTTTGCATATATGTGCATGGGAGTGCTTATTTTCTTGTGTTTGTGTTTTGATGGTGTATTTTAATGGTAATATGAGGCATCTGCCACTTAAAGGAGGTATTTTTATTGCAGTTTATGCAGGTGTGGAGTGTCTGGAAGCGTAAATGGGGTTAATTGGCATTTCCGTTGTGTATTACTTATGTGTTCATCAGCAAAATAAAACCCCCCAGGGGTAGAGAGCGAGTTAACGAACTCTCTTAATTAGAGGAATGATGAATAATAAAGTTTTTATCATGTCCATGTGGAGCTGCTGATTGAATGCTATATTAA